TCTTTCCCTTGAAGTTCACTAGTGTCGCCGCACTGGCTGGGCCCTCTGCTTGGTAATACACTAATGACCCCCTGCTGGGGTCTGCCAGCTGCTCACCTGTCTTGTCCAAGGGCAGTCCGTAGTCTTCTTCACCAGTGCCAGGCACCCCACTGGCCAGACAGACCCTGCCATCCACCTGTCCCCCAGGACCACCAGCTGGTGATGGTATGCCTGGCTGACAGCTGTCTTCTATTTCCTGTGGGGTGACACATGGCAGTCGGACAGGAATGGGCTTGGGCAGAGCAAACCCAGAAGTGTGGTGAGAGGAGGACCCTCCCGGCCTTGCTGTAGTATCCTAGGTCCCTGTCTACCAGTAGGTGTGGGGAGGAGGATGGCCTTCAGGAACAGCTAGATCAAGGCTAATGGTTGTTCTGGAGCCACTTTTCTAAAGCGTCAAAGGCCGGAGTTTTGTTTTTAAGCCAAGACAGGTGTGAGGACTGGAAGAGGTATGAAGAGTTCTTTGTCATTTATTTTCTGCTTCTTGTATCTCTAAGCCCTAGGGAGAAATTAGATCAGGGAGTTCTGGGAGGGTCCTAGCCTGTACTTGTCCAGGGAGGTTGAGGCTTCTCTAGCCTGTTGAGTCCTGGCCTAGAGCAGCTCTGGACCAAGAGAGATATGCCAACACTGACCTGCTTGTAGGCTCTTGTTTCTGACCCTCAGAGCTCACCAGAACTGTAAGAACTCTGGAGTTTATCCCCTGAGGGCTGTCACTGACACATGGGTCAGTCAAGGATGTGACTGTTTGGGCCTGACCTTCCTGCTAGCAGGGGCTGGAGAGGAGTGAGTTACAGCAGGTGAGGACAGGAGGTTGGCATGCCTGTGGAAGCTGTGCACCCCTCTCCCATTCTATCCTCAGTTGGAGGAGATGCAGAAGCCCAGGAAGGACCTGACCCCCAAGGTCAGAGGTGAGCCAGCCTGTCTGCTTGAAAAACAGAGCCCAGTGTTTAGTCTCCACCTGCCCAGCTTGGTCTGCCTCGCCCTTGTCCAATTAAACAACAGGATGTTATTATTGACTTGGAGGCTGCTGGGGGAGCCATTATGGAGTTGTTACCCAGCACAGGGGTTGTTGTCACCTCCTCCAGGGGATGAGGTCACAGCTCAGGCTCCCCAAGCATCAGCATTTCCAGTGGAAATCCTTGCTTCCTTGGGGACTTAGATGAATTCCTCCCCTTCATGGTTAACCTCCTTGCAGAACGGAGACGGAGGAGGTGGGGAAGTAATTCTCAGGAGGAGAAGGGGGATTCCTAAGCTGAGAGAGGCTCAGTGATGTCACTGGGAGCTTCCTATTAAGCTCTGTGGCCCCTCTGTCCTGAATAGTGAAGGTTTTGAGAGCAGGCTGGAGTGGGGTGGATACTTGCAGGAGCCCAAGATGTGGTGTAGGGTGTGGGGGAAAGATGGCAGATTGGGAGCCTGGTTCTGGTCCCAGCTTGATTTTATGTGTGACTCTGGGCAAAGGCAAGCCTTTTTCTGAGCCTCAGTTTTCTTAAATGTCCAAAGTGGTTGGAGGGAGGAGTTTATACTTATTAGAGCACTAATCCCCTGAGATTCTTGCCCTTCTGGGATGGGCAAAGGCTATAGTGGCCCATTTAAATTTTAGCTGTGAAAAAAAATTGAAACCTGGGAAGTCAGGAGAAATCTTCGGAATTCGAGTTATTTATTTTTTTCTCTCCTAAGCAGAAGGCTGACGATCAGCTGGAAGCAGTGGCTTATTGGTTTGTGGCTTCATGTGTGGACATAGTAATTCAACATTTTTCACACTGGATATTTTATGGGACCAACCTTGTGCTGGTCCTGGGGTTGTGCTTGGGGATTCAGGGATAAGAAACTAGACAAGTCCATAGACTTCTCAGTGTAGATACAGAAGCAGGCAGGTCAACCTGCAGTTACAATGAAATATGGCAGATTCAAATATGGCAGAGGGCAGCTGTGGAGTTGAGGAGGTACCTAACTCAATCTTTTCTATCAGGGAGGGCTTCCTGGAAGAGGTGGTAAGCCAGGATGGCAGGAGAAGCAGGAGCCAGCTGGGGTAGGGGAGGGACAGGAAGAAGCACCCAGTGTGACAGGATTTCAGACCCCAAACCTTGGACCATGTAGAGGAGGAAGTGATGAGTAGGGGACCCTAAGGGAAGACATTGAGTTAGCCTTGGCCTCTGTGTTCCAGGAAGGTTTCTTGCAGGAGGGGACTTCTGAGTTTGGCCACCTGACCTTCCACAGCCAGCCCAGCAGTGGGAAGGACCGTGGCTGTCAGGGCAGGCCTCCCCAGTGTCACAGCTCACTGATGGGAAGCTGAAGCTGGGTCTTAGGGCACCAGGGCTTTCTGCCTGACGCCATAGGTAGGGGTTCTCTAGGGGAGGAGATCTGTCCTTCAGTAGAGACTCTCCATAGGAGCGAGGGAGCTTCCGAGCACCAGCCAGGCCCTGCTGGCTGGGGGAAGGGCAGATACCCTTCCTCTGACCAACTTCCCCTTCTAGGAACCTTCACTTCCTTGGGATGGGGAGGGTAGATCACTCTCTGGGATGGGAGAAGGGTCTAGGGGGAGGGCCAGGCCTGGACCCTTAATATGATGGTAGGAAGCAGAGGCTCACTCAGCCCAGGGAAAGGAATCCAGCTGCTTGCAGGGGCCAGTGGTGAGAGTGGGTAGCTCTCATGTTGAGAACTGGGGTCCCAGCTGACATCATGTCCTCTTGCCTTGGCCCCATGAGCTGTCTGTTTCTGTCACAGGAGTGACAACACTTCCTCTACTCTGCTCCATAGCTGGAAAGCTTCCCCTTTTCTTGGTTTCCTTTTTTGGCAAGGCCTGTCTGCCCTAGAAGCCTCCTTTCTCTTAGGGTGGGGGAGAAAGAGGTCCTCCTAGAGCATAGACACCCCCCTCAGAGAACATGGGCTTCCCTCTTCCCTAGCCAGCCCAGGCCATGAGGGACCAGGAGATCCATCCCCTCCCTGCCCCCTATAGTATGGGAGCAGTTGTCTCCCTTCAGTCAGTCTCTAAGCTCTTTATTCCCCCAGCCTTGACCCTAGCCCTTCTTTGTTTCCAGGACTATGTCCTGGTCTCTGTGAGGCCCCTCCATCCCTCTGTGTCACTGTGTTGAGCGGTCCTCCTAGGACACACAGTGATGGAGCTGCCGTTTTCCCCAGTCCTACTTGGTGGCGTGGCT